GGCAACCCCCCAAATTAATAAGAATTACAAATAATAGAATCAAATGTGGAAGTAGGCAGTTTTTGGAAATACTGGGTTTTGAATATAAAATAAGTAGTTTTACTATATTTAAAGAAATAAATGAGAAATTGAAAGTTGGATTAAGTAATGAGATACTATTAAAAATGACCAAGTAGATTGTAAAAGACCATTTACAACTTGTAGAAATAAAAACAAGAATGAAATTAGAAACTCAGTGGATCAGATAAACAGACTAAGCACAAAGAGTGATTTAGTGAGCTGGAAGATAATTTATGAAGAAGTTACTAATAAATCAGAACAAGGAGTTAAAAACATGGAGAATATGAAAGAAATTTGGGACATGGAAGATAGAATAAGAAGGTCAAATATTTGTATAGTCAGAGTTTTTGAAGGAGATTATAGAAAAATAGGAGAGAAGCAATATGTCAAGGGATAATGCTAGAGTTGCTCACAATTCATGAAAGGTACCATTCCTCCACAAGCCCAAAGACTTACAAGCAGGTTAGTATAATAAAATGTTAGTGGAGTATACATGGTGGGTATATTTTCTTTAATTTGGCTGATTGCTGGAAAAATTTTATAATAATAAGTTTAGAAAAACCCTACAAAAGTGAAATGAATAAAGGCAAGAACAGAAACTAACAAAATAAACAACAAAATCAGAGAGGATCAATACAGCTGTAATTGGCTCTTTAAAAAGACTAAAATTTAACAAAACTAATAAAAAAGATATGAATTCAAGTAAGTAATATTAAGAATGAAAAACAGATAATAATTGCAAATACATGAGAGATTAACTGCCTAAGAGATTTTTGTGAACAACTCTGTACCAATAAATTTGAAAACTTTGGTTATAGGCAAATTCTCTGGATTAAAAAAAACCAGAAATTGACTCAAGTAGAAGTAGAAAACCTGAACGTTTATGTACCTATTAAAGACACTGAATCAGTAGGAGAGTTTGTACTACAAAGGATCATAAGGCCCAAAAAACTTTGCAGATAGTTTCTACCAAAAAGAAGAGATAAGTTCAATCTTATATAAACACCTACCGGGAATGGGAGAAGAGAATATTGCTCACCTTACTTTATGAGGCTAAAATAATTTGATAAAACAAATAGCAATTACATAAGTAGAAAGTTGTAGGCCAATGTTACTCATGGATGCAGATTTTAAAATCCCACAGAAGAGTATATCTAACCAAATACTCATACACAAATGTTCGTAGAAGCATTTTTTCAGAGTAGCCAGAAAGGGAAAACAACTGAAATGATCATCAACTGATGAATGTGTGAATAAAATGTAGTATAATATATAATGAATAATATTCCATTGTATTATGCAGCCATAAAAAGAAATAAAGTACTGACACATGAACCTCAGATGGAAGATTGACCACAAGCCTCCAGTTTCTCTCCATCCCCAAACACCCTCTAAAATAACAGTAAAGAAATCTGTTAAAGGCATAAATCCACAAAGATATGAAGAATTGGAGAAGAAAATAGCAGTAGCATATTGGAAACTGGAATGCAGGTAGATATGTAGTAAATGACTTACAAGACCCCTCTCTGCTGCAAAAAAAATTAAATCTTAAATGTGGTGGAAGGCAGGCAAGAAGCAACTTGACTTTTACTCAGACTACCCAAAGAATTCAGGAATTGTCCACAGTAGGTAGTTCTGAAGTAGGGTTGAAGGGAAAGTAAAAGAAGTAGTAGTGGTCAAAGGCATCAGGTAAATTCCAAGATCCCTTCCCTCACTCCATGGAGGTGAAACACTGTGACTTTCCATCCCCCATCTCATAGAAAAGTTGAAGTGCAGTCTCTCTGGAGAGAGTAAAACAAAAGATCTCTGCACTGGGGGATACTAGACATATTTGACCATGAATACTATACTAACAACAAGGTGATTAAGTAAATAGGCATAATGGATATGAGAACCATTCTTAAGCCCTTTTCCAGAATGTTGACAAACAGACCTTTACAATTGAATTTGGATATTAGAAAATATTTCTCTGGGCTATTTGAGCAGCCCAAGTGGCAAAATGTAGTTCCTAATATTGAGGGTTACTTAAGATAACCACCCAATGGGATCACCCTGCAGAAAACTCCAGAGTTGACAAACACCATCCATGTACACAAAGCTTCATGTTAGCTTTTTGGTCTTTCGCTCATAAGTATAAGCAACAATCAGTGATTTCATGTGACATTTCAGGAGAACTCTAGCATGAAAGATTGAGACCAAAACAGGTTAGACGAAATAAGAACTATGCCAGAAGGAAAGACCTTTTTATTTATTTATTATTTTATTTTTTTGTGAGGTGGAGTCTTGTTCTGTCGCCCAGGTTGGAGTACAGTGGGGTGATCTCGGCTCACCGCAACCTCTGCCTCCCAAGTTCAAGTGATTCTCCTGCCTCAGCCTCCCGAATAGCTAGGATTCCATGTGCACACCACCATGCCTGGCTGATTTTGTATTTTTAGTAGAGACAGGGTTTCACCATGTTGGCCAGGCTGGTCTTGAACTTCTGACCTCAAGTGATCCGCTCACCTTGGCCTCCCAAAGTGCTGGGATTAAAGGCATGAGCCACTGTGTCCGGCTAGGAAAAGCCTTTTTAAAACTCTATTATTACCAATATTCTCAGGGAGATGAGCTATTACAGCCATAAACCAGGAATATCTATTAAGTCAACCAAGCACATTAACAGATTAAAGGAGAAAAATGATATATTATCTTACTAGATACAGAAAAAGCATTTGATAGAACTCATCTATTCATGAAAACATCTATTAGTAAACAAGGAATAGAGGAATTTTCTTTAACGTCATAATAAATGAAAAATGAATCTTATAGAACCTATAGTAGATATCATACTCAGTGGTTAAACACTAAAAATATCTCCTAAAGAAACAAAATGAGTAAGAATGAGAAAGGAAGGAAGAAGACAAACAGTGATTATTCATAGATGAAGTGATAACTCAAAATAATCTGCTTATATGAGTGATAACTCGAAATAATCTACTTAGAAATAATTAGAATTACTAAGTTAGTAAAATAAATAATTACAATTAATAAAAGATATCAAGATTGATGGATATAAAGTCAATATACACAATCCAGTTGGATGTCTATATAATGGTAACAAACAGAAAAAAGAATTTAAACAAAACTTACCATTTATAGTAACAACAAACTGTAGGTATTTAGGGATAAATCTAACAAAAAATATTGTGGAGAAAATTATTAAAATTTATCAGAAGACATTAAGGAGAATGAAATAAGTGGAAAAGTAGACCATGTTCCTGAATAGGAAGACTCAAATATTAAAGACATTACCTTACCAATTCCCTAACAGAGATTTTTGAGGAACTTTGAAGCTGATTCTGGGGGAAACTAGGTTATCCATGTTGAGTAAAAACAACAACAAAAATGGAATGAATTTTATTTCTATTGCATCACCATATACAATATTAAAATGAGTTCAAGTGAGATTATTGCTTAAACATGGAGCAAATTATTACAAAACTTTATAATTTCAGGAAAAAATATAGATAAATAAATTATGACCTCAGCATAGGGCAGGATTCCTTAAACATAATGCAAGTGCAAGCCATGCAGGAAAAGATTGACATATTACATTAAAAGTATTTCTTAGTTAAAATAAATCCCATAAAAAGAAATGAAAAGACAAGAAGCTAGACTGTGATGAGCTATCTGTAACATACATGATAGCAAATGATTACTCTCCAGGGCATAGGAAAAAGTACTCAGGGTAAGTAAGAAAAATAGACAAATAATTCAATACAAAAATTAACCAGAAACAAGGCAAAAAAAAAAACAAAAAAAAACAAAAAAAAACCCAAACAGGCAATTCACAGAGGAGAAATAAATGACCTTTCAACATATGAACAGGTACTCATACTAATTAATAATCAGGGGAGTGGAAAATCAAACCACAGTAAGATACCATTTTACCTGTCTTAGGTAGGAAAAATGTTAAAACGTCTGACAATACCAAATGTTGACCAGGATGGTACACGTGTAGATTGGTTCACTCTGGAAAATAGTTTGGTTATGTTTAGTAAAGTTGAAGATGCTCATATTCTATAACCCAGTGATTCTATTCCCAAGTAAATGCCCTGGAATTTCTCCCACAGGTGCATGAATGTCCATGGCAGCATTGCTTGTAATAGCCCCCAAACTGGGAGCAACTCAAATATCCTTTGATGGCAGAATGGTTAAATAAGTCGTACAATGGAATATCTGACCCAGTGCAAATGAGTGAAATAGGGCTAATCCATCGACACAAGTGAATATGGAGTACCTAATATTGAATACAAAACTGAAGCCACCCAAAATGTATACAATGTGATTCTGTTGATATGACATTCAAAAACAGGTGAAAGGAAATAGTCTGTTATTTAAGGATACTTGTATACTCATAAAACTATATTTAAAAGTAAAAGGAGTGGTAAGCACAAAATTCAAGATAGTGCTTTACCTCTTGGGAGGAGAAGGAAAGATGGTAGAGGGGAAACAGCTTCAAAGATATAGATCGGTAGCATTTCACTTCTGAAGCTGGGCCCTGAGTTTCATCTGTGTTATAACTGTATTGTGCAAATTATATTTAAATGCATTTGGGATGCCTTCACGAGAACTTAATATGTATAGTTGATCTCGTCAGGGTTTAATCTCTAAAGTATCACAGGCCTGTCAGATTCGTGAAGTAAATTCCTTTTTGAGTGAATTTTGGCATACTGTTCCCATAGTGAATAATGGTATAGTTTCATTGTGAAGGCCAGATTGGCTATATTCTGTTTGAAATTACAGTTCTCACTCAGATATGCAGGCTGATTGACTCAGGTCTCATCAGACTATTCTGTTACGATATGACGGCATCTGCTTGGGTGAAACCACAACTTGCCCTCCTTCCCTTGAGCAACCCAGATAGACATCATTAACCTGACTCCTGCGATGTTGGTTCCTAGGAGGAGCACCGAACAACCAGTTCCCTGAGCAGTGGTGCTCTTATGTGGACAAAGAAATTCAGCCTAGATTATTTGGCCCTGGACTTCAATTCAGCATCACCAGCCCCCATGCAGCAGGTAGGAAGGGCTTTGCGTCTGAGAATCCCCAGGTGATTCCATTTCTGCTTAGACTTTTCTGATGATCAAATCATGCATATTCTCCTTAGAAAGTGTGAAAAATGCAGACAAGTATAATGAGGAATATTAAAATCGGCCCTAATCCCATCTCCCAGACAGAATGAAATCTTGGTGTATTTCCTTCTAGGGTGTGTTCTTTGTGTGTATATGTACACATATACACACAAATAGATGTGATATTCACACTTCAAAATTTGGACCATAAAGTTTATAGAAAAATGTCTCAGGCAGAAATGAGGGTGAGGTAGAGGACCCTCCAGGTGTAGGAACATCCTGTTTGGGGAACAAGTAACAGCCTAGTTTGGTTAGACTTGAGGGAGCAATGGAAAGAACTGTAAGTTGGAAGTGGAACCCCTTAGTAAGGGGCCTTGAATGCCAAGTTGGGCAGCTACCCCTTTGGGTAGAATTCTCATCTGAAAAATGGAAATCAGAAATGACAACACTTATGTCAAGGACTGTTGTGAGGATTAATTGAGTTAATACATGTAAGTCATCATAGCTGTGAACTAGTATCACCCACTGTACAGCGTAAGGAATGAGTGCATGGGAAACAATGGAGGACTTTCCTACTCTTTTGCTGAGGTAACTCCTACTTCTTTTCTACTTTTAATATCATTCCAAAAACCTGATATGAGACTGGAGAAAAGCTGTTAAGAAGGGTGGGAGCAATAAGTATAAAAGGAGCATTAGTCAGTTTTGGTAGACTATGCACTCAAAGCAAACAACCCCCAAATCTCATCTACTTTCAACACAAAGGCTCTTTTATTGCAGGCCAGAGCCTTTGTGTTCCAGTCCAGGGCCCAGGCAAGAGAAGCAGCCCCCATCTGAAGTGTGCTGGCCTCCTGGCAGAGGAAAAAGAGAGATTGCAGAATCACAGAATACCTCTTTTCTCCTTAGGATTGGAACATGTCACTTCCTTTTTGTTATTGTTGTTTTATTTTCATGAGACAAGATCTCACTCTGTCACTCAGGCTGGAGTGCAGTGGCATGGTCATAGCTCACTGCAGCCTCGATCTCCTGGGCTCAAGGTATCCTCCCATCTCAGCCTCCCAAGTAGCTGGGACTACAGTTGCACACCATCACCCACAGCTGTTTTTTATCTTTTTAATAAAAAATGATCTTGATCTCCTGGGCTCAAGTGATCCTCCTGCCTTGGCCTGTGTATTAGTCCATTCTCATGCTGCTATGAAGAAATACCCAATTATAAAGATTCCTTTATAAATTACCCAGTCTCAGGTATTTCTTACCCAAAGTGCTGGGATTACAGGCACATGCCACCATGCCAGGCCATGTCACTTCCACTTACATTATATTGGTCAAAGCAAGTCAAGTGGCTAGAGCAAAGTTGAGGGAAGCAACGCGTGTTTGTGCACACACACGCGCATATACAAAGTATAAAGCTTCCACACAAAGAAAAGGGCAACAAATATTTAACAATGTAATTTAATACAAAAGGGTAAACATTTTCCTGACATTTTAAGTTAGATGTAATGAAAACCTTTTTGTTCTCCTTCTTCAGAAACTTCTCCTTTCAGAAGAACAAAGAGTAGACTATGTCCAAGTGGATGAGCAGAAGACACAGGCTCTCCAGAGCACAAAACAGGAGTGGACGGATGAGAGGCAATCCAAAGTATGAGAAACAGGGAAACTTGGGGCTCAGTTTGAGTTTTTTCTATTTTTTTCTTTTCAACTAAAAACACACTGATGGTCAACACAGGTCAAAACCAAGAGAGACTGTGTAGTTTTCAAGGTCTTGGCCAGAACCTTTAGGAAAGAAGACCTCTTTATACATTGAAGGAACAAAAGAAGGAAGCAGTTCCCTTCCTGAGGGGGCTCTGAGAGAATCTAGCCTCCTCCCTGTCTTATCGGAGCAAAGATTGGAGTGAGTGTTGTGACCAACAGGATTTTATTGTTTGACTCCAATACCTGAAATTCTGACCTGTCTCCTGTGCTTCAATGAGAATGATAAATTATCCTAGCAAAGGGGCCTCTGGAGCCCATCTTGTTCCAGCCTCTGAAGACAGTTGAGGAGATCAAGCCCAGTGATGGTGGCAAAATCTTACTCCAAGGACTTCAGCAGACTAGTCATGTCAATCCCCAAAGAAAGACAAGTGACAGGGGCAATGGATCTCAGGCTCTGAGATAAGTATATCAGATGACACTGGTGGCTCTAAGGACATTGCAATTAAGCAGCTACCTGTAGCCAGGTATTCTGCTGCACTTGGCCTTTTCCCATGCACCGTCTCATGTCTTCTCTGAAAGACCTTGGAAGATAGGCATGGAAGAGACTGTTGATGCCACTTTGAAGAAAAGAACACTGAGAACTAGAGGAGGGAATGCTTTGCCCAAGATTATCACAAAGCCAAGACCCAGAGTCCGGCTTAGAATACAGTTGTCCAGGCTGCCAATTGCAAACTCATTCCTCTACCTCATACTTCCTCTGAGGATTTTGACAAAATGGATTAATTGGGTGAGCCTTGGAGACATGTGGGAAACACCTGCAGACACAAAATGTGTAGGGATCTGAACAGTTTTGATACTTGAAAGGTGTGCATGTCAAGTGAGGGTTTCTTCGTGCGATGTTCAACTGGAACTCTATCATCAGTAGTTACGATTAGAAATACCTACTGATGGTCAATCTGAAGGCCATTCTCATGGTCCCCTATGCAGTGTGTTTCCCTGTGAGCTGGCTAATGCTAGCAGAGGAATTTTTACCACCTTGGGGAAGGCGTAGGTTGTCCCTGGCTATCCTATAATGGGCCCAAGCTTTGGAGTGATAGAGAAAAATGACCAGGAAAAACCTATGAATTCCATTCTTAGGTTTCCCAGCCAATTGCTCCCCTCTGCTTGAGAAGTAACTAGGTACTGAGAGTACAAACACTCCCACTTTATAATGAGGGTGTCATGTCACCCCTTCCTTTACAGGTCCTGGGGTCCAGGACACCCAGAATGAAGGTGTTAGTTGGGCATGAAGTGTTATTTAATGTCTGTTCTTGATCCTTCTGAGCACCTACAGCTGGAAACTAAACAGATACTGGTCCTGCATTCTGACTGAGATTTTGTCTTCTTTATGAGGATAGATCAAATTGGCAGTCAGGCCCATGATAGTCAGTGCAGTTGGGGCAGTTGTAGACTTTGCTACAGGATTTCAGGGTTTCCAATCACCCCACAGGTAAGTAAATGCCAAAGTCTTCTTTTTTCAGACCATACAAGAAGTCATTTTGATTTTCAAAGAAGCCATATTGATTTTCAAAGAAGCAGGTTCTGGTGACATTATTTTCTTCCTTGGACAAAGTGGGGGAAAGTTTCTAAGTATTTTAACTGAGTTCAGAGTCCTTAGTGAGCCTGGACAGAGCAAGGAGAGGTCTCCCCACTCCCTAAGCCCCACAGCCAGCTCTGCATCACCACACACAGCCAAAGCCGGTGAGGAGCTGCCTTCTTCCCCATGTGACTTGCAAAGAGACTCAGGCAAGAAACCAGGGCTTCAAACTGCCAGTTCCCACGTGTGGAGCACTTGTGTTAGGATCACTGATTATCTGACAAAGGCTGATGCAGAAAAAAATTGTAGGCCCAAGTGTCAAGAACCACACCAGATTGGAGATAGAAAAGAATAGCTGAAATTATGTCAGTAGTGAAATGTCACTCAATTGACACCCCCCCAAAAAGAAAAGAAATCTGTTTCTACAAAACATTTCCAGAAACGTATTTATAGCATGAAGAAATACACACATGGGTAGTGTGACCTGTTTGGATGTAATTACTGAAAAATGGAATGCTCTGAATAGGCATTCTCTGCATTAAAGGTATGGAAGGTGATAGGGGTCAGAATTTTAAAATTTTAATTTTGAAAATGGTGACTCACCCCTCATTTCCAGAGTGTATGCAATTGTGTCCTGCTTTGATGACTGTTAGAGGATGGCTATGCAAAAGCATAATGATTCAAGGAAACAAAGTACAGGTAGTTTTTGAGCTGACACCAGCAAAGGTACCATAAGTCAAAATATTGGTTTTGGTGGAGATGATCGATGTGTGTGTGTGAGAGAGAGCTATGTTTCTGACCAAGGGCCTGATGTTTGTTACAGAAATGATCCCAGAGACCTACAAGATGTGGGAATCAGCATAACAGGGCAATGCAGCAATTAACCCCACTTTGTTTTCTGTAGTTCCTTTTTGTTTCATTTTCTTCTGTCTCATCGCGTTAGAAAATTCCTCCCAGTCAGGAGTTGTCCAGTGCAGGACAGGGGACCCAAGGGTCTCAAGCCTGCAAGTCCAGAAGGTGACAAACCCAGGAGCACTGGGAGTTAAGCTTTCCTTGGGGAAGGAAGAGCCTTGAGGTCCAGCACACAGCCTGGCTCTAAAGGCACGAAGCGACCTGCCCACCGCACAGTCCACTTCACAGGATCAGCTGAATCATGACCTTTAAAAGTTCCAAGTTGAACCTGAAGGCTGAAGGCTGTCCTCAGACCTGGCTTTTTCCTCAGTCCCTGTTCATACCATCTCTGCACCCCCAATCACACTGATTTTTCAAATTCATTTTGTTTTTACTGTTTCATTTCTGGTGTTAATAAAAGTCTTATAAGGAGGAATTGTGACTTAAGTTCTTTTTTATTTAAGTGATGACATCCAATATAAATAAGGATCATGTTTTAAAAGCTGAATATTTGAAAATGGACTTCATAACCACTTTTACGTTGAAGTACAACAAACTTAACCTGACTCACGTGCGTGTTATTTCACTGCAAACAGTTGAGCAGGTGTCTGTAATCAGTACTGCTTCGGCTCAGCCAAACCATATCTTGTCATTTTCTTTATTTCTTCGTTGGAAACTAGCTTTTATAATTGACACTAAAATCAGCTGCTCTCCCTGACACCATGTATAACATGACCTTCATGATTACTTGCATGAGAAGGCAACTGCCCTAGGCCTGCCTATCCTCGGCAGGCGTCTCTTTTGCCACCACCTCCCTTTTCTCCATAGCCGAGTCTCCCAGATGCCCTGGGTGCTAGGTCGGTGGCATCTCGAGGCCATGAAGCAAGGAAGGGACAAACAAAGTAGGGAGGGGACGGGCTCAGATTTGGGGGAAACAGACCAAAGGCATAGAGAGAACAGGCCTGGGGGATCCTGGGTCAGAGAGAAAGGACAAAAAGCCACATTAAATGCCTCACCCCGGTGAAGTACGAGGCCAATCATGAACACTTTTTTCCTACACACACACTCCAGACCAAGTCTCCGACCCACAAAAAAAGTCTGAGAGACTCAGACCCTCACATACATGGACGCTGGAGAGCCACAGGGACTGGATGGCTGTGCAGGGTGATCAGGTGGACAAAATGATCCAGATGGATAAAATGAATCTTGACCCCACTCTGCCGCCACACATAAACACAGATTCCAAGCAGACCTCAGTGGGAAAGGCAGAACAATAAACTCTACGTGTTCCCTCTGCTTTAGGGGAGCCGTTTTGCTTGTAAGCACTGTTTGCTTGTAAAGCACTGTCTTCGTTTCATGGTCAAAAATCTCTATTTTACTTAGTTTTGTTTTGTTTTGTTTTGTTCTGGCTTCCTCTTTCTTTATTGGGCACTTTGTAGATGTCACGCAGGTCTAAAAGTCACACAGTTAAATAATTATTTAAAAACTGACCAGGACGAAGGTCCTGGTCCAGAGCTCCAAACCAGAAGCAAAAAGGAATCGGGGCGGTGGGCTGGGGGTACTCCTCCAACATCACCAAAACCCAGAAAATGAGGATCCTAAGCTCCTCCGCGGGCCAAATCCAGGGCTTGGGCCCTTGGGCTAACCTGCAGGTGCCTCTGACTGTATCACACTCAGAGTAAGGTAACCGGCAAGGGGCTGGAGGGAATGGCCAGCCGAGTCCAGACATGGACAGACGTAACTGGAAGGAGGACAGGAAACAGGTACTGTCCAGCTGTAGATAAGAGAGTGCAGCTAAGGCAGGTTGAGGGGCAGGGGAGAGGCTGGGGGAGCAGTATTGCAGCAATGCAGGAGTGTAGCCCCAGGGTCCTGTCCTGAGCAGCTGGTCAGGGTAGCAGCTGTTAGTTCCCAGATGGAGCTCCTGACCTGAGAGGCAAGAGATCTAAGTCCAGCTGTTCTTGTAAATGCTGATGGTAATGCCCTATCTTGACATGACAGTGTTTTCAGATCATGCCATCTGTGGGTAGTAACTCTCCAGTTAGCAGCTTCAGAAGAGTTGACTTCCCTGCTCCATTGGGCCCTACCAGAGCCACTCGTGTGTCACGGTCAATTCCGAATTCTAGATTATTGTAGATGCAAGGCCTACTTTTGTATACTTGAAGCTCACATTTTGCACCATAATGACAGGTGGAGGGATCTTGCCACATGGTGGGAAATAAAATGACAGTGTCTTATCGCTCACGACCCTCTCTGTCAGTGCTGATGCCATCATTTTCTGTAGCGTCTTCTCCTTGTTCTGGGCCTGCTGGGCCAGCTTGGCACTGCCATGACAAACCTCACAATGTAGTTCTTCATGTGTGCAATCTGATCTTGCTCCCAGTGAAACCTCTTCATCTGGTTCTCCTCCAGCTCTAGCCGCGTCTTCACATACTGATCATAATTACCCGTATAATACTTCAGTTTCTTGTTGTGCATATGAATGATGTTGGTACAGACACCACTCAGAAATCCTGGGAATAGGAGACGAGGACCAAGATGCGCTTAAAAGTTTTTAGTTCTTCCTCCAACCACATGCAAGCATCTAGGTCCAGGTGGTTGGTGGGCTCATCCAGGAGCAGCATGAAGGGCCAAATAAAGAGGGCTCTGGCAAGGGCAAGCCTCATCCTCCAGCTGCCACTGAAGTCTTTTAGCTTCTTGTGCTGCGTGGCAGGTGTGAAACCTAGTCCATGTAAGATCCACGAGGCCCTCATCTCCATTGACAATTCCATTCAGTTCAACAAATATTTAATGATCACCTGCTACATAAGAGGTATTCTTATTGGTGCTGGGTATATAAGAATGAGTGAAACAAATATGTCTTTCCTTAAGCTTCTATTCTGGCAGGATGTGGTGGGCAGTGTTGGTGCCCTGCCCAAGTCCTCTGGCACCCCTTTCTCTGATTCCATGTGCTCTTCCTTCTGAAGCCTACACCCCTGGAGCTCCTTCTCAGAGGATAGCCCCTCAGCTCTTGGAGCTGCTTTACCTGCAAGAGCAGAAAGCTGGAAATGGCTCGGAATTCACTCTCCCTACCCTGTGGAACCTGGCTGAATCTTTCCTCCCTCTGGGATTGCACACTTGCTTGGATGATTCTTCTTTGCTCTGCTTTCCCCACTAGGGTTTCTCAGCCTTTGGGGTGTCCAACTTTCATACATTGCCTTCTTGAAAAATGGTTGCAACAATATTTTCTGTCTTGCTTGCTCTTTCAGCATCTAGCCACTCCCCATTAAGAGATGGAGTCTATGTCCCATCCAGTAGAACTTGGGTAGTGATGCTGTGGCCAATGGTGTACAGCAGAGGGGACTCTGACTTCTGGGGCCAGGTCATACACGATGATACATCTTCCACCTGATATATATATATATATATATATATATATATATATATATATATCTCCTTGGAATCCAGCCATTATGCTGTGAGGAAGCACAGGCCACATGGAAAGGAACCAAGTCGCTTGGCCCTCAGACTCTTCTGAGTGTTACCAGCTGGCAGCCAGCACAAAATTGTCCCCTTCCTGTGTAAGACATCTTGGAAGCAGATTCCTTCAGCCTTCGGTTTAGCCACCCTAGCTGCTGCCACATGGAGCGGACATGAGCCTTACTCCCAGTGGCTGCCCAAACTGGAGATGCAAATGATCATCATTGTTTTGAGTCGCTAAGTTTAGGGGTGGTTTGTTATGTCGCAACACTTACTAGACCATCAACCGAAGACAGAGGTGAGACAGGAAATACAAAACAAATTTGTACATTATACTGTATTTTAGAAGGTGGCAAGCAGTATGGGCAAAAAGAAAAGGGCAGTGAATTGGTCTGTGAGGGGTGCAGTTACATGATGAAGTAGGGTGAGGAGATGAAAATCGAGAAGATTTAAAGGAGATAAAGGAGCTAACCATGAGCTAGATTTGAGAGAGCACCAAAGGCAGAGAGAGCAGAGTGTGCAAAAGCCCTCATTCAGCAGAAACCCTGGAATATTGAAGGTACAGCTGCAACACCAGGGTGGCTGGTATGGAGTTTGTAAGAGAGTATAGCAGAGAAGGTGGAGAGGTAATGGAGGATTCACAGATTACAATGTAAGGCCTTATTGGCCCTTATAAGGATTTTATCTTATCTTCTGAGTGAGAAGGAAACCAGTGAAGGGAATTGAGTAGGGGAGACATGTGATTGGACTTAATGACTTGAAAGGATCACTGTAGAGAATATATTATAAGAAGATTAAGATTAGAATAGGGAGACCAGGTAGGAGGTTATTGCACTCAGATAGGCAAGAGGTGGTTGTAGCTCAGACCAGAGTGGCAGCAGTGGAAGTGGTGCGATGTGGTTGGATCTTGGATAGCTTAGACAGAATGACAGAATTTGCAGAGGGATTGCATGTGGGTGATGAGAATAAGAAAGGAGTCAAGAATGACTCCAGGGTTTTTCACCTAAGCAACTGGATGGGAGTATTCTCTTGGATTTCCAAGCAGATAATTATTTTTAGTATATGCAAAAGCTGCAGAGTCCTATAGCTGCATTTCCTAGTGACTCATGACACTGTGCAACCTTCCTATGCCTCAGTTTGAGTGCATGTGTGTGAGAGAGAGCATGCCCACTCACATGCATGTGCCCCTTGAGGTTTTCCAACTGCAAAATGAGGGTTGTAACAGCCCCTAATATACCTAGAGATTATTGAGTCATGGTTGTTGTTAGATGACATAAAAGAGGTGATACATCTACAACAGGATCTGACCCACAAAATATTACCACTTGTTATTTTTAATGGAAATTAGATATTATTTTAAATGCTTTGCATGTTATAGCTGATGAAATCCTCACTATGTGGCAGATATTATCAAGGCCAGCTTTATTGACAGGTGAATTTAAGGATCTGCTAATAGATGGTATAAGGGATGTGTGGCCAAGAGAGAAGTCTAAGAATTCAGCATATTATTTTTGATCTGAACAGCTGTCATTAATCACTGTGTAGAAGAGTTGGAAGTGGGGAAAGATTAGAGGTTCAGTTTTGGAGTGTTAATTTTATCTCTCAAGCAATTGCAGATGTCAGGATAGGCAGTTGGATCTACGAGTGTGGAGTGTGTCTTGGAGTCTAGGGACATAATTTATACACACACACATGCCCATGTGCACATTTAACATAATATCTAACTTTCATTATAAATAACAAGTGGTAATATTTAGTGGGTCAGAGAGGCTGTGTATAATTTATGTCTCAACATGAGTCAGTACGCACGCATGCGCGCACACACACACACACACACACACAATTTATCCATGGGATTAGACCAGGATATCAAGAGAATGACTGTGAAAGTGAAGATGCCCTCCTCAGCTCCGATGTAATTGCCTTTATAAACAAACAGGTGAAACAATTCCCTGTAGTTCCAGTCTGTCCCTCTGT